TTCTCCTTCTGAGAAATAATTACAATCGAGAAATTTCTAGTCATCATAAATTTAAAGAGAATGGTATGGCAAGGGGTTAAGTTCCCTCAGGGGCCCCCGACCCACGGGAGCGCCCGTGGGGGGGGGGGGGGGGGGGGGGGGGGGGGGTAAAGATGACGGACTGACTTCATAGTCTTTGTAGACCTGCACTGTCGACCAGTTAATAGAAAAAAAGCTCTACTCTTTACTATGTAAAGTCTATTATTTGAAAAATTATTTTGAGTTGTGTGCGGTTTTTTAGACGTAGCAAATATTAAAACTTCTGTCAGAAGGCTTCCAGTACTGCACCAAAGCGTACTGGTTGCATACTAGTAGGGGTGTCCTGGGATAGGGGTGCCCATAAATCTATGATGTAAAGTCTTTTCTCGTTTTATGTCGGTTATACTATGCTTTAATGTTATCGAGACCTGCGGTGATGCCAAGTAACGGAACTGCAAAGTTCAACGACTATTGATCTTTGCACGGTGGTTTGTCTTTAAATTTCGTTCCTAATTTAACTATCGATGGCGCGATTTTCTACACAGCTATATTCATGGTGGTACTACCTAGGGACACATGCGCACTGGAAATCGGTTTCGGAAAAAGGCGGAGTTTCAGCAGTATAATGGTACTCCCTGGTAAATAGAGATATTGTTGATGACGCTGCATTTGTCTCAGATGTGTGCCGCCATTAATGTTAAAAACTGATATCTACAAATTTTCTCTGATATAGCAAGAAAATCGTGGTTTCGATTTTAAATGAATATTTCTCGTGTAATAAAATAGCACTATAACCGATAAATATTTCTTTAAAATTGTTTGTCAATAATTATGGCGGAGGTCGTGAAATATGTTTAATATTGCTTTTATGAACGGGTTACAAATTTATTTTCTCACATTTCTATACTGCAACATAGCAATATCTTCTGTATATGTACATAATACCATCGACATGCATATGTATGTTGATATTTTATGGACGTCATACTGGAAACATGACATCGTACCGTTCCCTATCATAAAAGAATAGTATATTTTGCTATACATCGGTTTACGATTTTTCTAAAGAAATAAAATTCAATACCTTATGTATAAATTGCAACATATTAAAAAATATATTTGAAGTATTCTTCGAATATACTTCGCATAATTCGAAGTGTACGAATACACATCCTCGCGTGATATTAAGGGATGGCATTTGAAACTCCTACCGTTGAAACTTGAGGGGCACATTAAATGTTAATACGTTACTTATCGTGTGTTGAAATAAATTTACTAAATATTGAGGCTCGTTAATTAATACTCTCTTGAGGCAGGTATACCTTTCTGTATATGTAAACGCATGCGTTTCGCTGCAGAATTCAGAGATAAGAACGATTAATTACAAAAAAAAGTGGAGACGTAGAAAAAGGTTTTGCACTCGGCTGAAAGTGATAAAACAACATTGGACTAATCCTTGTATATTTGTTGACACTTAATCCCTACTTAAGTAGCATAATCCCTATCGGTTCGCAACAATAGCTTTCTATTGGCCTTATTCAATCCATTACGTTAGTACTGATTTGCATGAATCAAAGGACCTAATGTTTCTAGGACATTCCTATGATTTCGTTATTTCAAGCGAATTATTTTCCGTTCAAAAAATTTCTCAAAATAAAAAGATTTTCGTTTCTCCGTCACTTGAATTTTTCAACGTTCGAGAAAAAGCTCGAGATTTTCTACCGGTGCAATCTCAAGCTGCGCGTATATCTAGATACTCGACGTTCGATTCCACAATATGTGTCTTTAACGAACTTAGGTCGGCGAGCAGGTTTAATTTACGAACCGCGATCTTTTCATCACCAGCCTTCCGCGAGGTTGCACTTGTATACTCTAATTTTCGAAACTCTGCCTAGAAGTGTGTTACAGCCACCCTGTAACGATCCACGGCCCGGGCACGTTCGTGTGAAAGTATACCATGAGAGCAGCTTCGTGCTTTGCTGGGAGGAAAAAAATAACGAAAGAAACCTGTCACGGGAACGAAACGAGTCGATTCGACTCGCGTTGACTGGTGTGAAAGCACTCCCTTCGATCGTAATTAACACTTCTGGCGGTACACTAACGTTATGATGAATCATTCGAACCATTCTGCGAGCATAGCTCTCTATTAACGACTTCCAGATTCATTGAGCACGATGACAGTCATCGACTGTGTTTGCTCGATACCAGCACAACCATGTATAGCATCGATAATGAATAGAACTCAAATCTTTTTAAACATTCAATCCGACACCGTGAATCGTAGCATATCTATTCACCTATACCAGACATTTGCCGAACGTCACCTGATGAGAATCAGTCGATAGAATTTTCAATGTTAGCGAAGTATCGCTAAGAAACTTTAATTCGACAAGAGAACACAAATGTACATTACTTTTGGTTTAAAATGTTTGGAGCTACGTCAAATATCATTTAACATTTTAACAAGAATGAACTGATAAATCTCTTTGTATAATTGTCCCCGAACTGTCGAACGAAATGCAATAACACAGAGTCAAATCAAAATAGTGGAACATATACGTTATTGAGATTTAAAAATTGTCTAGGTAGTATCAGTCCACGCGTATGTGTATTGTGCGTTCTAGATAATGAAACAAAGAAGGAATAAATAATTCATGACGCAGACTCAACGTCTGATAGCTCGTGATACGTAAGACGAGAATTAACCTACAATGGTTACGAAGATGCTGACAGGTCTCTGTGATAATAATGAACGTAGTATTTAGTGAATGTGCTTAAAGTAACAGAAATATCTGACTCACCAGATACGTAGGCAGTGACGTGAAAACAGCTGAGGTACTCCGACCATACTGGTTCTGGTTCCGCGACGTTCCCACAGACACGGTGTGTACGCTTCGCGACGCGAAGCGACTCATCGAACGAACGTAACCGATCGATTATCAAAGCCGCGCGCCAGGCGGCTTTTTCTTCTTTCTCGGCACTCGCTTGTGCAGCTGACTAACCTTCTGGCGCTGATATCCGTTCTCTGCTTGCGGACCTTCGAGATACTTCGAACACAAAACTAATTATAATACGCTGCGCAACGGTTATCGATGTATGATAATTCGAATCGTGCGCTTCAATCCGGCGCGAAGTCATTCAAATTTGACTTCAACTTTAGTTAGTCATTGAAACTTCAAACTTTGACAGTCTGAAATATTTGAATATGATGCAATTAATATTAATACTGTGTACATCGAACGCGAGGCGCTAGCGTCGAATATTTTCTGTACAATGCTGCACATTTGCAAACGTATACATACAATAGCAATGTAATAATTTGTACACAGGGTTTACTGTTAATTTCTTTCTTATTACATGATAGGTGTACATTTGATACGAAATAACGTGTATAGTAAAACGATAAGACATCTTTACAAGATGATACTTAGGACGAAATTACGAAGTCATCTTTTAGAAAAAAAAACCCCGAACTACATAAAAAATGATTTCAATGTTATATCATACTCTCAAAACTTGGTCACTATAAGCGATCATGCACTTTAACATCCCGTAGCTGCCTTGAAACGACCGTTTACATCGTTCCAGTTAATAATATCAAAAATCGCCTTCACATAACTAGGACGAACATTCTTGTATTGCAAATAATAGGCGTGCTCCCAAACGTCAATACCGAAAAGAGGTATCAAACCGGTCGTAGCCTGTAAAGGGTCCTGGTTAGCACACGTGGCTATCCTTAATGATTTCGATTCTTTGCAATATCCGAGCCAACCCCAGCCAGAACCTTGAACAGCAACAGTGCTGTCTGATAAGCGTTTTTTCATCTCTTCCATGCTGCAAAAATCCTTTTCGATTTGTTTAACAAGAGCAGCTGTGAAATGGAGTTGACTATTATCTTTACTATTTATATAAAGTGACATTGTTTTATACCAAAAAATGATTTATTCTTTTTATTTTTTTACCATCTGGTTTACCACCACTCGGCGATAAATTGCACCAAAAGATTGAGTGGTTTAAGTGACCACCACCATTGAACTTCAATGCAGGTCCTAAAGCAATTTGAGTATTAACATCACCCTTAGCTGCAGCCTCCTTCATTTTTTCCTCAGCAACGTTTAAATTATTCACATAAGTTGCATGATGTTTGGAGTGATGAAGTTCCATGATTTCAGCACTTATAATTGGCTCAAGTGCCTTATAATCATAGGGCAATTCAGGAAGGGTATGTTTGGCCCTAAATGCTTCTTTGCTATAAAATAATAAAAACATTAATATATAAAACATTAACTCCTTACATAAGTATTGTCTTATCTGTAATACAAAAAGAATTTCAGAGATTTTGGAGTTTCGACTCAGGTTTTGATAAAAATTTCTCATTAAAAATATTTTCCATGTAAATATTGATAAGTTCAAGTGCAAACATTAATAATTACAAGATGCTTATCTAACATATATCTGTATGTCAGAGGTCAAACTAAATTTATACGGTTTTCTATACTTAGACA